ATGATACCTTTGACATCCTCCCACAACTCATCTGGTCTTCGGGCATTAGTGTTCAAGGCCTCAAACCTGTTCCTGAGATGATTCTGAAATTCAGGTGGTATGAAATCAAAGTCATTGCTGTCGATTTGTGCCTATAATCACCCAGTCTTTTCAAGTCCTCATTAGGTCTTTCCAGTTCCTTTGCCCTCCCCATCTGCCCACAAACCTCTGCTATACAGTAAATTTTTTTCCCTTCCCCTTCTCCTTTTGAAGTTGTATACACATCTTGCTTAATGATCCTTCTATTTTCACGGCAACAATCTTATGCAGTATTTGTCCTAAGGATACTGACTTAGTTCATTCAGTATAATGCTCTGTAGACTGTCACATGTTATATAGTATTTCACAGTATTTCTTCCTTAATGCTATGTTGCATTCTATTGTATGGATGTACTACAATTTCTCTACTCGTTTGTTGAACTGTTTCCATTTTCTTGTTACTATGAATAATGCTGCTATGAACATAAGTGTACATATCTCCATTTTTTTTATTTCCCTGGGGTATATTCCCAGCAGTGTAATTGTTGGATCATATGAAATTTCTGTGTTCAGCTTTTTGAAGAAATGCCAATCTGCCTTCCAGAGTGTTTATACCATTTTACAATCCCACCAGCAGTGCATGAGAGTTCCAATCTCTCCACATCCTCTCCAATATGTATTGCTTGCTGTCCTGCTAAACTTGGCTACTGCTGATGAGGTGAGATAGTATTTTACTGTTGGTTTTGATTCATATCTAATTGCCAGTGATTTTGAACATGTCTTCATGTGTCTGTTGGCCATTCAAATGCCTTCCTTTGTGATGAGTCTTTTCATGCCTTTTGCCCATTTTGTGAGGTTATTAGGCAATTATTGCTTGTGGAGGCCCTGTAATGTTCTATAAATGTTAGTTATGAGACCCTTATCTGAAATGTCATTGCCAAACATTTTTCCCCCAGTCTGTAGTCTTTCTTTTCACCCTATTGAAAAAAAGTTTCGATGCACGCAGGGACTTGATTTTTAGAAGGTCCTGTTTGTCAATTTATCCTCTTCTGGTTGTGTGTTTCTGGTTATCTTTACAAGTCTACTTATGCCATAGGCTATGGCTTCTAAGTTTGGTCCTGTTTTGTCTCTTAATTATCATTATGTTTTGGGGCATTACCCCTAGGTCTCTTATTCACCTTGAGTTGATTTTTATGTGTATGGCGTGAGATATGGGTCCTGTTTCAATTTTCTGCAGGTAGATGTCCAGCTGTTTCTTAGGAGTTTTCCCCCAGGAAATTACATGTCCAGTTTTGCCAGCTTCATTTGTTGAAGAAGTTATCATTTCCCCATTTGATAGCTTTTGTAACCTTGTTGAATACCAATTGACCAAAGGTGGATGGGTTGATTTCTTGGATCTTAATTCTGTTCCATTAGTCTCTGTGAATGTTGTTATACCAATTCCATGTTGTTTTAGTTACTCCGGCTGTGTAGTAGGTTTTGAGGAAAGGGAATACTTTACATCCCAGTTAATTTTCTCTTTCAGAAAATAAATTGCTTACTGGAGTCTCTTTCCTTTCCAAATAAATCTGCCATTTGCCTTTTCTATCTCTTTGAAGCATGAGTTTGATACCTGTATTGGGATAGCATTGAACATGAAGATTGCATTTGGAGGGACAGTCATTTTCAACATGTTAATTCTTCCTATTCATAAATAAGGATTTTTTTCCATTTAGTTAGATCTCTTCTTTTTTCTTGTAGTGTTCTGTGGTTTTCCTTATAAATGTCTTTTGTGTCTCTATTTTGGTTTATTCCCAAGTATTTTATCTTTTGGTTGTCTATTGTAAATGGTATTGCTTTTCTAGTTTCTTTTTTTGTGCTTTCTTTCTTATTATAGAAAAATCTCACTGATTTTTGTATATTGATCTTGTATCTTGCCACTTCACTAAATTGGTCTACTAGATCTAACAGGATTTTTGTTGAATCTTTGGCACTTTCTTTGTATACTACCATATGCTTTGCATAGAGCAATAGTTTTACCACCCCTTTGCCAATTTGGATGCCTCTTATTTCCTTCTGTTGTCTTATTGTCTCACATAGTCATGCTGAATTGTTTGCTTGTTTGTGTTTTTTAAATGTACTGTTGGATTCTATTGGCTAGGACTTTGCATCTATGTTAGGGTTTTTTTTTTTATGTCTTTGCTTGGTTTTGGTATTAGAGTAATGCTTGTTTCATATAATGACTGGAAGTGTTCCTTCTTTTTCTGTTTTTAAAAATAATTTATGTAGAATTGGAAATAGTTCATCTTTGAATATTTGTTAGAATTCACCCATAAAGCTTTCTGAGTCAGAATATTTTTTAAGAGATTCTTTTTCTGACCTGTTCAATTTCTTCTTTATTTATGGGTGTGTTCAAGTGTTCTACTTCTTTCTGTATTACTTTAGGGAGCATAAGTTTCTAGGAATTTATCTGTTTCCTCTAGGTTTTCAAATTTGTTGGAGTATGTTGTTGTTGTTGTTATGTGCTGTCAAGTCACGTACAATTCATAGTGACCCTAGGTACAACAGCTCTAAACTCTGCTCTGTCCTGTACCAATCTCATTGTCTCCAACACATTCATCCCAATTTCCCCAGTCACCGAATCAATCCACCTCCCAGAGGGCCTTCCCCTCCTGCACTGTCTCTCCACCCTCCCAAGCATGATGTCCTTCTCCAAGGACCGGTCTCTCCTTGCACCATGACCAAAGTATGTCAAACGAAGTCTCAGAATCCTTGCCTCCAGGGAGTCACCCAGTTTAACCCTCTCCAAGATGAATCTGTTTTCTTAGCAGTCCATGGTACCCTCAGCACTCTTCTCCAACACCAAAGCTCAAAAGCATCAATTCAAAAAAAAAAAAAAGCATCAATTCTCCTTCTATCCTCCCTGGTCATTGTCCAGCTCTCTGATGCATAACAAGTGATTGCAAAGACCATGGCCTGTACCAGATGCACCTTAGTCTCCAGAGACACACCGTTGCTCTTCAGTACTTTAGAGAGGTCCCTAACAACAGACTTTCCCATTGTAGTACGTCTTTTAATTTCCTGGCTACTAGTGCCAAGAGTGTTGATTGTGGAGCCAAGCAGACTAAAGCTGTGAACAATCTCAATCTCTTCACCATCCATCCTGATGCTTCCAATTGGTCCACTGGTGAGAATCTTTGTCTTCTTGACATTGAGCCTCAATCCACTGTTTTCATTTCAGCTGGTTGTATTGTAATGCACTACTTTAATTTCTTATTCAAATTATTTGTTCCTTCTCTTTCTTTGTTTTTGTTAAATTTGCCAATGGTTTGTTTACTTGTTGACCCTTTCAAAGAAGCAACTCCTGATCTTATTGATGGTTTCAATTGTTTTTTCTCTTTTCTATCCTGCTCATTTAAACCCTTCCTTTTAATTAACTTTCTTCTAGAGGCTGTGGGATTACCTTGTTTTTCTTTTTTTCTATTTGCAGAAGGTGTTAAGAAGTTTATATTGCACCTTTAAAAAAATGAGTAGTGCTATTAACTCCTTCCTGAGGATTGCATTTGCAGTATCTCATAGTTTAATATGTTGTATTTTCATTTGTTTCAAAGGACTTTTTATTTCACTTTTTGTTTCTTCTCTATTCTAGTAAAGCTCTAGCTTTAGGTTTCTCACAGATGGTATTTTTTTTTAATCCTTTATGCTCTTACTGTTAATTTCTGGTTTTATGGCATTGTGGTCTGAGAAGACACTTTGTATTATTTCAGTGTTTTTTAATTTGTGTCCTAATACATGATCAATTCTTAAGAATGTACCATATACACTTGAAAAGAAAGTAAATTGACTTTTAATTGGGTGTAGTACCTTGAATACATCTACAAGGTTGAGTTGGCTAATTGTATAGTTTAGTTCTTGTGCATCTTTGTTGAGTTTCTTTTGAGTTAACCTGTTCTTTGGTGAGAGTGATGTGTTAAAGACCATTATTACGATTGTAGTGCTGTTTCTTCAAATCTGTTAACTGTTATTTTATATATTTTGCAGGTCTGTCATTTGGTGTGTAGATTCTAAACAAAGTTATATCTTCTTGATCTATTGTGATCTTCTTTAATCATTATATAGTACCCTTTCTTATCTTTTACTGTGGCTTTCATCCTGAAGAGTATTTTTCCCTAACATGTATTTTATCAAAGATTAGTATTGCTATTCCTACTTTCTTATGTTAGGAGCTCTGGTGGCCTAGTGGCAAGAAACTGTGCTGCAATCCCAAAGGCTTGCAGTTTGAGAGCACTAGCTGCTTCATGGGAGAAGGATGGGCAA